AATCTAACTGGTGACCCTGTTGCTCAAAGATCGCACTCTTGAGCGAGCTCTTAACCAACTGAGCCACTCGGCCGGCCTGCTACACCATTTTACATTCCCGCCAACAGTGTATGACGGTTCCTGTATTTCCACATCTTTGCCAAGCTTTGTTGATTTGACTTTTTGATTCTAGTCATCCTAGTGTGTGTGAACTCATGTACGGTTTTGAAAGGATTTGGGAAGGATTATCCCTTTCTTTCTAATATTTTTTAATGCCATATTTTAAGTGTGCCCTTTCCTAGTACCTGTACAAGCATGACTTCTAAGAGGTCCTATTGCCTGTCACAATAATAAAGGGAATTTCATGTTCATTAATCCAAAAATTTCATTGTTTAAAGCCAATGTGGGAGACTTTTAAAAATATGGGCGTTCGAGGGACGGAGGAGAGCGCGTGGAGAAGTGGGAGCAGGTGGTGTACATTCTGGACTGTTGCATCTTTCCCTGGCGATGGCCCCACTTCCTGTCGCTGTGTCTGATGGGTCCGTCTGTCTTTCAGGAGGATTGGCTTTGGCCCAAGTGCTCTTCTTCTACGTGAAGTACTTGGTGCTCTTTGGCGTCCCAGCTCTTCTCATGCGCCTGGATGGACTCACACCGCCGCCTCTCCCTCGCTGTGTCAGCACCATGTTCAGTTTCACGGGGATGTGGAGGTCAGTGGCTTGGTTTATTACAGTCCTTTAGGGGTGGCCAGTGGGAGGAGCCGTGGCTTGGTTGGATTCAAAGGGCTTAGGCCACCGTCCTGTCTCTGCCCCTCACTCGAGCCATGACAGGCCCTTCATTTTCTTCATCTGTCTAATGGGATGATATAGTCCATACTTTCTAACCTCTCGAAAATATTGTCAGGCTACAAGCATATGTGAGATGAAAAAGTTTGTCATCGAGGCTTTGTACAGATGCATAAAGGGTTATGTCTGAAGTGCTTTCTTACTAACCTGGGACATGCTACTCTATTGATTATTTTTTTGCTGTCTTTTTCTTAAAAATGACATCTATATATGTGGGACTGTCGATTAAGAAAATAGGATAATAGCATAGACCGGTTGGCATTTGCTAGCTCTCAGATCTGAAGCAATTTACTAAATCTCTGTAGGTTCCTGTGTTCTTACCTCTTAGATGATGATGATGATGATGATGATAATAATAATAATTATAGTTGTAGTGAAGATTAAATAAGCTAATGCACTTAAAGCATCTGGCACACAATAGATATTAACAAATATTAGCCTTTACCCTTATGTTATTTTTATACTTGATGTGCTTGGGCAGACAGATGTGTATTCTTTCTTAATTAACTCTTCTTGATTTCGCCCCATAAGCTTGTGCTGGCCTGGAGTCTTTGTTCCAAACGATCCCTCAGCCCCTCTCTGTTTCTAATTGTTGTCTTGGACATGTGCTGCTGCAGTGTTTTCTTATCCCTTCCAGTACAGAGCAAGTGATGTTGGCTTTTGTAACTGCAGACCTAACGTAAGAACCTCCAGGTAGGGCCATGCACGTCCATGGGCGTCAGCGCCTACCTCAACTTTGCCTTTGGGTGCTTCGCTGTGCCTCACCCTCGTCTTGGCCTTGCTCGGCACTGCCATTGGCTCGTTCACGTGGCTCATTTGTCTTCTATTTCATCCCTGTAGGCAGAAGAGCCAAGACATAGGTACTAGGAGTACTAGGAGAAGCACTCAGTGACTACTACCATATCTATCGTTGCTGTTAAAAAGGGGGGGACAGCACACAACATCCTAGTTTCCTGTAGCAACTTCTTGTAGATACTGAATTTGTCTAAGCTTCTGTAAGCACATTTTATTTTTGGTCCAGTTTGCTTTTTGGGATTAGAAATGGCCTCTGGTTATAGCAAGGAATGTCAAGTTAATTGCTTTCATTTGTCCTTAATCACTTCATCGACTATCACAGGTTGCCGAGTTTTTTTTGCCGGCGACTCAGGGCAGCCCAGCTCCAGGTTGAGCTGTTGTTCAGCATCTTAGCTGTGGAGGGCAGTGTCACTGGCCCTCATATGTGGGATCCGAACCAGGGCCCTCTGGTGTCCCAAGCCAGCTCTTAACCATCGCGCCACTTGGCCGGCTCTGGGTTGCCGAGTTTTAATGGCAAAGTTAACAGAGAGCCCCTGGAGCTAGGGGGCCCGGGATTGGCTGGAAGACTCTGTTAACTTTTGACCTACTCATAAAGCAATTTACTGAATAAATGGGACAGGACTCAGTGTGATTTGGGGGACATGTCACAAGTGCCTGGCGTGCTCCTAGCACGGCTCCTCTGCCTCCTTGGTGTGCATGCTTGCACTAATGCACCTCTCAGAAGCACATTCTCCTGAAAGGGCTTCTCCAGTGTCAGCTGGCTTAATAAAAAACCATGACTTCCGGGCAGGCAGGCTGGCTCCCGGCTCCTGGTCCATAAATACCAGCCCATTGGTTGTCATAGGAGGCAGTTTAGACAGTTGACTGTATTTCACATTAAGATGGGTTGCCTTCTTGTCCTTTATTATTTTAACTAATTAATTTTTTTTTTTTGTCTAAGACCCTCAGTTGCATACAAACTACAGAGGTGGAGACAACATGTCTGCCAAGATCTATATCATTCTTGATTAGAGCTAGGCTCAAATAGTGTAGACCCCAGGTTGTTAAAACACTCTCTCCTCGCTCAGTTACCATGTGGGCAAGAGGGTAGGAATGAAACGTTACTTTGAGTGGGGTGGGGGGCCCTCTGGGGTGACCCCTGCAGTGACGTGGTTCTAAAGGGAGCTGCTTACAAGGGCATGTGATGAAATAACACACATGGTCTTTCCTGGGAGTGACCTAGACTTTTCGCCGGGCTTCCTTTAGCATGCATGGGTGAAGGTTTCCTCCTTCACGTTTGTTTTAGTTTCTTTTTTTTTTTGAAGCGTTTTCTGGTTTGCCAATTATGCTTAGAAAAACCTGGGTCTTCATATTTTTGTACACGGTGACCGTTCCACATTAAGTAGTTGGATTTAACAAGGGATTTTAATTCTCTCTGAGCTGTAGTGCATCATTTAAAGCTCAGGAGGAATGTTTTTTTTATTGATACAAGGATAAAACTTACAGTTAATCTTTTGTGCTATTTGCAGATGCTCCTCTGCGCTTATGGTCACGTTCAGGGTCTGGTAGCACAGCCTGCACTGGCCCTGCTCCCATTCCTTCACTCTTCTCTGTAAGAATGTTTGACAAGAGAAAATAGTCTTGAGTTTGTAGTTTCTATTTACGTCTGATATTTCTGGGGCATTTATTGAGGCCTTGCTGCACCAGGGAATGGCTCCCTCTTCCTGGTTTTAGGCCTGAGAAGAATTGAATCAGGAGCAGATGTGAAAGCCGGAAATGCAAACCTTTCTGCTGGGCTGTGGCAGCCACTCCTATGGTGACACAAACGGCAGGGTGGATGAGAAGCGGTGTAAAGAGATTTAAAAACAATCTCCGGAGATTGTTTAATGGTTACCCGAACTTCTAGAAAATCCACACTGAGTGAGGTTTAGAACTGATGATAAGAGATGAATTTTCAGCCTTCCTTGTTAAAGGAGTCTTGCATATCTGAACTCCGTGCTAACTCATTACATTGGCTTTCAGTCCACTTAGCAGTGAGAGAAGACTTGAGGCCAGCAGCCTACCGTATCAGAAGGGATTTTACATCATAGAACCGATGAAGCTGACCATCATCAAAGAAATCATGTTCCCTGATGTCATAGTTGAAATTGATCACGCAAAATTGCTATTCACCCAGGTGGCCCAAATCTGAAAGTTAGGATCTCTGATGGGTTTGTTCGTTTTTTCCTTCTAGCTCTTCTCTTTCATATAATTTATGGTCATATATTTGCAGGCATAACAAAACCCTGAGGAGTATGTGTATTCCCACTGCATGACTTTTATGTGGCTGTACGGACCTAAGAAATTGAGAATTTTCCGCTTAATTTTTAGGTTCCATGTTTAATTTCAGTAGGCTGAGATCTGTAATGACTATCTGTTGCCAGAGTTGTTCAAGATGACATTGCGTGTCTAAGGTTTCAAATTAGAAAACTGATCCTGTTCCCCTGATTCGATTTCAAGCTATGGAAGCAAAGTGTGCAAAGCGATAGAATTTCCCCTGGCGGCTGGTGAGTTATGGGTCACTTTCAATTATCTCAGGAATCTCGCAAGCTTGCCCTCTGCATTTCTTGAATTATGATGCTCTCAAGTCTTCACAGGCAAACTCATGCATCACTGCTTATCCCAGAGGGATCTGGGCATTGTTGGTGGCTGCTAGACCTGAATGTATGGGGCATGTTTGAGCTGGGGATGGAGGCGTCTGCGCCCCTTCCTTCAGCAGGGCATCCATTGCATGAGCTGTTAGGCCAATAGAAGAATTCAGGTCCCTAGGCGGAAAGTTGGTCCAGGCCTGCGGTTGGTGAAGAAAACCAGCTACCCAAACTGCTGGTTTTGCCAGAGTCTTACCTTTGAATCATGTTAAAAACCTCAAGTTGCAGGGCAGGATGGCTACACAGAGTTGGTGAAATATATGTCCCACCTACCAGGATTGCTAGATGGAAAGCAGGGGCAGTGTGAACTTAAAGGAGAAAAGATGGACTAGGTGCTGTAAGAGTTCGCTTTTCTTGGAGATAGGCTAGTAACTATAATACGAGCTTGCTACTTACTAGCTGTGTGACTTGGGCAAATAATGAACACTTTCTGGGCCAATCTTTTCATCTCTAAAATGGAGATGATAAGAGTAATTGCCTCATAGGGGTGATGTGAGGGCTGATTGAGCCTGGCATATAGGAAGTGGTGGCGTCTTAGTTTTTTGCACTTGAAAAATCTAACAAACCCAGAGATGTCTGAGAGACCAGCCTGGGGATGGTCCGGGTTGGGGAAGCCGGGAGCAGTGACGGGACTGGCTGAGTAAAGGCTCTAGTCCAGTTCTGAGCCTGAGATGTGACAACTCAGAGATAGAGACTAAGGTGGAAAAGTCACGGGCTCTGCCCTCAGAGAAGGGAGCTTGATCAAATTACTTTTGCCTCAGTTTCCTCATCTGTTGAATAAAAGACAAGCTTTTGTCATGAGATGTTGTCTGTGTTCCCTTCCATTCTAGCGTTGTGTTAGGCCCCGCCACATTGGATGGGATGACCCCCAGTATCCTGGTGCTGAAGTGCTCCCCGTGCCCCACTCCTCATGAAACTGGGTAATTTATTTCACCTCCTGAAGCCTCAGTTTTCTGACGTATTAAATAGGGCTAATCATGGGACTTGCATCACGGGGTTATTGCGAGGGTTAAGTGAGGTCATCTACTAAAAGCAGTGAACGCAGAGCAGGCACACGGTAGACACCACAATGTTAGCTAAAAATCATAATTACAGATATGAAAGTAAATTTACACTGTTTGTTTTTTAATTTCCCGAATAGACAGGCCTGGGAGGGTGGATGTTTGAGGAGCTGGAAAGTGATAGAGGTGGTGATAATATGTGGAAGGCATGAATTTCAAAATGGAAGCGTGGGGGGGGGGATCCCCGTAAGCTGTACTAGTGTGACCTCCCCCTCACCCCCACGGAGTTCTTTGTGCAAACAGTCTCTAGCTACTGGACATATGCTTTACCTCACATTTTTGTGTATCTTTCTTAGTCAATCCTTTTCTCTCTTATGATCCCATCTCAGCGGACTGAGAAAAC